GGGGGGGTTGGGGTGCATATCAGAGCGCTCCTATTTTGGCAACAAAGGACAATTTTTCCAATTTAATCATCAAAATTCTTTGGACCATTTGCACCAAAATGAAGATTTTAGGGTGTTAGCACAGAAAGAGGTAAAATGACTGAAAATCAATGGAAGTCAATGGGAATCAAAACACTGTTCTGAATAGGGCTGCGATTAAGCAAGAAAGTGGAGATTAAATACATTAGTCACAAACGTTGTACCGCGATACATTAAAAGAGATGATAAAGTGCAACTTTATTTCTATAAAGCTCAGAAAAATCACAGGATCTTTTTGTTTCTGTGCTGCGGTTGGTGCAGAGCAGCTAATAAAAAACAAACAATGCGCAGCCGACTAATGGCAGGAGGTTTAAGAGTTATATAAAAATAAAACAATGACATGGATGTTTGCATATAAATATTTTTTATATTTAAGAACCACTCCACTATATTTTTAATCAATATCCTCTAATATAATATTGTGATTTTTGACAGATTTAATTTTACTCGTCCTCAATACATAGAGCCATATGTGTGCAAGGGTGTCTGTTTAAGTACAGTTTATAAATTTAATTATTCACTTGGAAAACACTTTTTACAGAATTTAGAACATTGATTTCCAAAAATTGAGTCACAAACACATTTGGGCTCCTTAATCAGGCAGTAATGAGGCTTTAGATCCACAAGTTAAACAAAACAAATAATTATTTTTGAAGTGCTTAAAAATGCTTGCTTGTTGATGCTGTTAATGATATCATCGCACTTGTGGTTAATTCATTTTGTAGGAATGTCTGTAAACATAACCAATAGTTTGGGTCATGAATCGACTCTGGGACCATTCTGTTAGGTAAAAGCTGGAGAGTTTATGCAGTATTGTACCTTTGATCGCACCGTCTCCACAGTAAATAAACCAAACCTCTGTAGTCTACTGATAAAAAGAGCAAAACGCTGAAGTGAAGTATAATAAGTCAAGCAGGTAGAGCTATTGGTAAATGGGCCCCTTTAAAACCTTGGGAAATGGTGCTGTTAGATCAGATAGAGTCTGAAGGGCAAGTTTTGCCAAAGATACCGAGTTGGACTTTAGAACTGGACTTGGACTGGGCTCTGACAGCCGTCTGCTGCTCTTTTGGAAAGGAAATCCGCCCTAGTCTCAAGTTTCTTTGGCCTACAACAGCTTTGTCATGGGTTTGATTAGTTTCTTTTTAGCATTATGCAGACGCCACCTATGTCAAGCGGGGGGTTGGGGTTCAGGTGATGTGCACACATTGTTTGCTTCCACACAAAAACGGTTGGCATGCAGGTAAAAACACTGTCGGATTTTGATTGTTTGTTGGTACTTTTTTAGTTTTAAGTAATCCTCTTTCCATTTTTCAGATGATAGATTTATCGACGCTCTATGTGATTTATAAAGCCTGAGGAACCCAAACGCTGCTCAACCTTCCTATCCTGTAATCCCCTGATTCCTCTTACAGTTATGAGCTACTTTATGTTAGCCTCTTATAAAAATCCTTCAAGTCGTAGGAAAGCGGCTGTTCCAACCGTTCCATTTCAGAATTCTACTGAGTGGTGCCCGACTTTACACGAGTGAATAATGTGATTGGTCGTTTATCAAGGGGGCGGGATTGTTGTTTGGTTGTCGCCGGTTGTATCTTAAGCATCGTTGCTAACCAGTTAGCAACTTAGTGCTAGTAGGTTCCCAATGGGAAATTCCATTGGGACCAAGTAGCACTAAATTGGTGACTTAGAAACGACGCTGTCAAGGAGTCTCCTTCGTCATCCATTTTTTATTTAGAGGAGGAAAGCGGGGGCGAAGA